TAGACTGGAGTGCAGTGGCTGCTCCCGGCCACCACAGCCTTGACCTGCTGGGCTCTGGTGATCCTTCTGCCTCAGCCTTCCGAATAGCTGGAACTACAGGCTTGTGCCACCATGCCCAGCTAATTTTTTTGATTTATTGTAGAGATGAGGTCTCGCCAAGTTGCCCAGGCGGGTCTCGAACCCGCAGGATCAGACAATCCACTCACCTCGGCCTCCCAAAGTGCTGGGATTACAGGCTGAGCCACTGAGCCCGGCCGGAATCTGCATTCTTAACAAGACCCCAGGGGATTCCAATGCACAGTAAGTTCCGGAAGCATGGTTTCCTGCCTCTGCCTCCCGAGTAGCTGGGACTACAGGTGCATATCATCATAAATGGATAATTGTTTAGTTTTATGTTTGTAGAGATGGTGTCTCACTATGTTGCCCAGGCTGGCTTTGAACTCCTGACCTCCAGCAATCTTCCCACCCTGGCTTCCCAAAGTGCTGAGATTACAGGCGTGAGCCACCATGCTGGGCCACCAACTAGATTTTTAATGACTTTGAAAAATAAGATACAGGTATAATCTATGGGGTTTGCATAGCTCTGTTTTTTTCCCAATAGGTTTTATACTCAATGCCACAGAAGAAAGCCTGCATTCTTTTGCCTGCATGACACACTGATTTCAAAGAGTGACAGAGTTTTCATGGAGTCCCTGCCTTTACCTCACCTGTTATTCCTTTGATGTACAAGTGTATGGTACTAGTTTACTGTGGTGCTTTGATTCTGCATAATTTTGAAAGCTTTAAGATGTCCAGAAACAGCACTGTTTCCGAATTTCACCTAGTGTTATCTTTATACAACCGTTTCTCAAGCAATATCACTGTTTCCAAACTTACCCTAGAGGTATCTTTGTACAACTTCCAAAATAAAAAACAGACCTGTTCACACGTTCAATATGTAGCTTTATTTTAAACCACAGCACAACACACACACAATGATATAACAAGACCATTACTTTAATACTGATAACATTCCTGGACAAGTAGACTTATAATTTACACACATTGTTTTCATCTGGAGCTATTTTAAATATTATCTTAAGATGATAGGCTGTAAAACACAAATCCTAAATATATACCAGTTGCAAACATCATGTGCTTAGTTACAGTTTTCCTTGTGATTTGATGAAGTCACTTAAAGTTCCTCAAAATCATGCCCACTTGTATTCAAGGTTTCAGGATGCATGACTCGTCCCAGGAATAGAATAGTACCTGCATTGGTTTGGAAGCGAACACAAGAGTGAGAGATTCAGTTTCCTTTTTACTCACAATTAGTGATTGTATAAAAATGAAAATATAAGCTATTTTCAGTAAAAATCACCTGTACGTTAGAAATGATATGATAAATACAATGAAAAAATCCTCAATGAGAAAGTTTCTTTGTAGCTTATCAAATAAAATTCTGCTTCACAACAGACTCACCAGTTCTCCTGCTCCTGATAAGAAAGAAAAATGGGTGGTCGACGATAACTTGAGGATACAGCACAGCCATTCTGCTAATTGCAATCATTCCTGCAATGCAGAGAAGAAGGAATTAATGTTGGCAGATGTGCAAAGACTTGTTAGGGGTTTCTCAAAACCATCTGTGTCTATCCATTTAATGCAAAGGCAACAACTTACAGGAAACAAGAGTTTTAAGGCTTAGAGAGAAAAAAAAAAAAAAAAACGGTAAAAGTGTTAACATCCCTACCTGCTCTTTTAAAAAAGCAGAACAAAACACACAACACACACACACAATTTCCTCTCTCTACCCTGCAAAAAATAATAGGACAATTTATTCTGCTTGTTATAAAATTGTTATTCTCAGCCTCAGATAAATATTTGTGCCTTTACTAAAGTGAGTTTTGAGTTAAAAGAAGGGGGAGAAGGAATTTAAAAAAAAAAAATCCCCTAGCAAAAAAACAAAGCCTGTCTCTTTAGATTTTCAAGTCATATATTGTTTTGTCTGAAATGGGTATTTTTGCATAGCAAGTCGCCAGGTTTCTAGTCAATGGTCAGGATGGCAGTGATTAAAGGGAAAATATAATAGTGAGATATGCCATGGGGTTTTCTACAGCTGGGATACTGAATTCCCCCAGATCCTTATTAAGGGGCGATTGCTGTATACTTGCTGCTGTGTGGTTTTGTCAGAAAAAGAAGCCAAGACTAAATTATGTAAGATTTTAAGCTTTTTTGATGCTTGAGACCACTGTGTTTCTACTGCCTCCCCAAAATACTGTTATGATCCTGATATTCTTTTAATAGGCAAATATATGCAGAAATTAGGAATAATGTGCAAATATAACATGCTAACATTTTACCAGAGGAGGAAAAAGTTCCTTCTAAAATTTAATGCTAACTGTTGAACGCAAGATTGAAACAAATATAAACAAATAAAAGAAGGAAAAAAGGTAAAGGAAAAAAAATCATCCTTAATTAGGAGAGTCAGAACAATCAAGACGACCAGGGATATTTACCATTGTTAAACATAGGATTTATGTTGAATTTTAAAAAAAAGTATTTAAGATTATTATTTTTATGAGTATTATTTGGCTAAAACTACTTAAAATCACGTACTGCATTCTATCATAAGCCCTTGTGCTGTATGTGCTTTTAAAAAATCAAAACTTTTCACTGACAAAATGAAGAATCAACTTTGCAAGTAATTAGGCAGGAAGAAAAATGTTTAAATGGGCAGCAGGGAAATATTTAAAATATTTAAACAGGCAGCACAACAGGAAAATCTGCTCTGCAGAGCTGTCAGTGTCCTCATTAGAGAGCAGATGAAGCCAGGAGATATCGGGCTAGAGGGGCCTGGAGTGAGGACACATTTCACATCCCATCTGGAACGTTCCAGCTAGGTCAGCCTTTGCCTGACTCCTAAGTAAGAAGAGGGTCAGTTTTCTGGACCACTACCCCCGCCCAAGCCTGCTTTAAAAGCACAAACCAAGAAACGGTGAGAAAATTTTAGCAAACACCTTGTTACCTGAGGCGGCCGCAGCCTCTGAGCCCTCCTCATTAACCTCTAGGAAGGCCTTATGAATCGCTTTGGAAAGGAAAATCTCTTTGCTATCTGCAAAAAGAGGACAAGAAGCATTTCTTTAGCATCCGAGGTAGAAAAATGGTTCACCTTTTTGCTAAATGGGGTTGAGAGGTACAAGAAGCCAAGACACTGAAAATAAAATAAATAATAAGATTGCATTTATGATATGAGAGAACCTCTGAAAACATAGTTTCTAATTTGCCCTTGTTTTATATTATCTTTTTAAGTTTCTCCTTTTTTTTTTTTTGAGTCAGAGTCTCACTCTGTCGCCCAGACTGGAGTGCATTGGCCGCTCCCAGCCACTGCAGCCTCAACCTGCTGGGCTCCGGCGATCCTTCTGCCTCAGCCTTCCAAGTAGCTGGAACTACAGGCGCGCACTACCACGCCCGGCTGATTTTTTGATTTATTGTAGAGATGAGGTCTCTCTGCCCAGGCGGGTCTCGAACCCGTGGGCTCAGGCAATCCACTCACCTCAGCCTCCCAAAGGTGCGGGATTACAGGCTGAGCCACCAAGCCCGGCTCCTTTTTTTTTTTTTTAATTGGTAATTCTCCCATTGTTTATTTTTCATGTCGCCAGCAAAGGTAGAAACTTATTTTTCAGTGACTTCAAATTAGTTCATAACTCAAGATTAAAACATCCTACACATTGATCTCTAATTTGAAATCTAAAAATACAAAATGCAAACAGGTGAAGATTCAGATATTACCAGAATAAAAAATATTTTTTTTAACCCAATCTCTACTGTGATAATGTAAGTAGTTCTGGCAAAGAGAAATAAAACCGATTTAGGTTATAGAAACGTGATACACTAAAAAGTTACTTTCCATTTCAGCTCCTTGGTTTACCTGAGGACTTACAAAGATGACCCTAAGATGAGAGAAAACACATTTTTTCTAGTGTTAGGAGGACTTTTCTTCCCTTCGACTCACTCTTCTATTTATGCTCGTGGTTAAGTTAATGGCTGTTGTGGGCGGCATTGTGTGCCCCCAAATTCACAGGTTGATGTCCTCACCCTCAGTACTTCAGAATGGGACTATCTGGAGACAGGATCTTACATTAAAACGAGGTCATTGTGGCACATTCTAATCCAGTATAACTAGTGTTCCCATGAGGAGAGGAAATTTGAACACAGGTCCAGAGGGAAGGCCACGTGTGACCGTTACTTTTATGTATCAACGCAGCTGAGCCACGGTGCCCAGCTACTTGGTCAAACGTGATTCTACATGTTTCTAAGAAGGTGTTTTTGGATGAGGTTATATTTAAATCAGTGTATTGAGTAAAGCAGATTGCTCTCACAATATGGATGGGTCTCGCCCGGCCAGCTGAAGGCATGCATAGGACAGAGACATTTTGCCAGCAGACTGTCTTTGGACTTCAATTTTTTTCCTGGGTCTGTACTGTGCAGATTTTGGATTTCCAAAACCACCACAATAATGTGAGCCAATTCCTTAAAACAAATCACTCTATCTTTCCATGTATATCACACACACACACACACACACACACCCCATTAATACACCATGTGAAGACAGCGAGAGAAAATGACCATCTACCACCCATTCCATGGCACTTTAGTAGGGTAGCTCTAACAAACTGCAAAATGGCTTTCAGTCTTGGGATTTCAACTTTTCCCCGTGAGTAAAACAATACAAACAAGGGATAACTGCAAATATATTTTTTAAAAAGCAGCATAAATCCAAATGTATACTTGCCTTTCTTCAAATCCAGGCAGCCTAACTTAGGATACGTAACTTTGCTGCTGACGTCCAGGACCATCAGGGAAAGCACAGCTGAGGTTGTTTAGTGGGGCCTAGTCATAGCCAAGTCCTACCCATATACACTTCCTTTCAAGTTTTCAAAACACGTGATAACCTTATACACACAGGGAAGGACGTTCAACAACATTTCTGGTACCTCTGCGGCAAAACACCTGATTATTTTAAATAAGCCCCAAGAGAACTAACAATGGCCTCTCTGCGTTTCACACTTTTAAAGGGAAGATTACTTCCTCAGATTGTGTTTGGTATTAAGACATAAGCACTGCATCATTAAATAGTCCCTTTTATGTATTAGAAATTTTTCTTCTAGAGTGTATTTGATGACTAGAAGAAAAAAAGCAATCAAGTTTTCACAGTTAGCAATTAAGTATGATTAGCTCCCTCAAATCCAAAGGAATCTTTTTTTTTGTAAAGAAAATATTAAATTGTATTAAGTAACCAAATACTTGGTGAAACAAGCACCTGAATTTCAAGACAGTGAAACGTGAATTATCCAGTAGTTCACTCGCTGCTGTGTTTTCCTCAGGGTCAGCTGCCCATTCTCCTCAGCTGGCCAGGGGAGAGAGGGTGGTGTAGCAGGACCAGCTATGATAGCCCTGAACACCACGCAGTAGAATCGAGTTCCTGGAGGGCAGCGCCCGTCCACACAGCCAGCTAAGCCATCCTCAAGTACCCCGAGGGGACTCCCCTCAAGACACTGAGTAGTGTTTCATCTGCACCAGTTTGCAAAGGACACTGCTGCCGATGGCAGCTGGGCCTGACTGGGCCTGATCGCTGGCTGTGCTGGGCACCTTGGAAGAGGGAAGGCACCCCTCGGCACAAGTGTTGTGACCTCCTGCAAGCCCCTGTCCTTGGGCGTGCTCTCACGGACCCACACGGAGTGGGCTGACGGGGACACCACCAGGCACCCGTGAGGAAAGATCAATTCAGCAAGGCCACCGTGGGCTCATTTCAGAGAGCTGGTGATTAACAAGATAATGAAACAGACAAACCTTTTAATGAGATTCATGAAGAAAAAACAGAGAGCACCCAAACAGGCAATATTAAGAACTAAAAGGGGACCATATCTAAAGATATCAAAGAGCATTTTTTAAAAATACCATGTATAATTTTCTACAGGTAAGTGTTAATCAGCTTTATGAGACAATTTATGTATGCTGAATTGTATCTATTTGCAAGACACGATTTGATAAGTTTTGAGATATACTCATATGAAGAAATAACTCACTGTATATCTGTGATCTGCCTCAACAAATAGGATACAGAATATTCCTATCTCCCCTAAAAGTGTCTTTGTGCTTCTTCATGCAAATATTTTGAAAATGAATGAATTTGCTGTGAACTGAGCTATTTTATAGAAATGTATACATTATAAAATTGAGTCAAAGAAAAATAAGAATATCTGAATAATCCAGTGACCATTAAAATAATTAAATTGATAGTTTAAACTTTCCCTAGCCTCAAAATTAAAGCCTCTAAGACTAAAGGGCTTTCTAGGTGATTTTAACCAAATCTTCAAGGTACAGATAGGATTATCTGTTATAAAATCATTCTACAGATTAAATGCAATCCTTCTGAAAACAGCAACATCATTTTTCACAGAACTATAAAAAACAATCTTAAATTTTATATGGGACCAACAATAGCTTGAATAGCCAAAGCAATTCTAAGTAAAAGGAGCAATTGTGGAGGTATCACACTACCTGACTTCAAATTATACTACAAGGCTATATAATAATGAAAACAGCATGGTACTGGTACAAGAATAGACAGACAAATCAATGTAACAGAATAGAGAATCCAGAAATAAAGCCACATAATTAAAACCAACTGATCATTGCCAAAGCTGACAAAAACAAATAATGGGGACAGTGGCGTGTCACTCTTTTATTCATTTAGGATGATGATTTCCTGCTCCATCTGTGTTGCTATTTAATAAACGGCGCTGAGAAAACTGGCTAGCCATATGGAGAAGAATGTAGCGGGACCCCTAGCTCTCACCATATACAAAAATCAACTCAAGACAAATTAAAGACAAATGTAAAACTCGAAACTATAAAAATATCAGAAGAAAACCTAGAACTTCTGGACATTGACCTAGGCAAAGAATTTAAGACGAAGACCCCCAAAACAAATGCAGTAAAACCAAAAATAGACAAATGGGGCTTAATTAAACTAAAAAACTTCTACACGGCAAAAGAAATCATCAACAAAATAAACAAAAAGCCTATGGAATGGGAGAAAATATTTGCAAATTATACCTCAGACAAAGGATTAATATCTAGAATCTATAAGGAACTCAAACAACTTGACGTGAAAAACAAACCCATCAAAAAGTGGGCAAAAAACATGAATAGACACCTCCTAAAAAGAGATACACAAGCAGTCAACAAACATGAAAAAATGCTCAACATCACGAAGCATCCGAGAAATACAAAGTAAAACCACAATGAGATATCACCTCACACCAGTCAGAATGATGCTGGTGGAGATGCGGAGAAAAGGGAATCATGCTTTTGGTGGGATTGTAAACTAGTTCACCCTCTATGGAAAACAGTATGGAGATTTCTCAAAGAACTGAAAACAGAACTACCATTTGACCCAGCAATCCACTTCTAGGGATCTACCCAAAGGAAAAAAATCAGTATATAGAGAAGATACCTGTACTTAAATGTTCGTGGCAGCACTATTCATAAAAGCAAAATCATGGAACCAACATAATTATCCACCAACAATTGACTGGGTAAAGAAAATATGATATATATACACCATGGGATACTATGCAGCCACAAAAAGAATGATATCATATCTTCTGCAGCAATGTAGATGGAGCTAGAGATTATCATCCTAAGTGAATAAAAGGGTGACACACCAAAATGGAATAATCTTAGCTAAAGTGCAGTCATTTTAACACTGCTTAGCTTGGTCACACTTTCTTAGTAAATTATCTAGCTAGCCCTCTAATCATTAACCAAAGCCAAAGCTGGTTTCCCAGAGGTAGCTATTGATAATTGTCTTGAACTTCTCAGGTACTGATTGATTTTCTATTCCAAGTATTTGTCTTCCAGCTATAAAGCGGCCCCTCATGACTTATGTGACAGACAGATCCCATCACATAAAGCAGCCCTTCGTGACCTATGTGACACTGACAAACCCCATCATCATAGCAACAGTTCTTGTGCTACTCATGATGATGTAAAATAGACCACTACCCAATCACCTTAACAACCTAACAACACCAAAGGAAAGCC